GGAAACATTATTAGAGCTAATGGCTTAAAGAAGCTCAACAAGCTAATTAAGAAGGCGGGCTCTGTTCCAGGAACTCTACAACCTCTGGAAATTATTTCAAAGAAGAATTCTTCATAAAGTGAAGAAAATTATGGACAACAGTGAGCATCCTCTTCATTCAGAGGTTTTTCCAGATCCGGTGCAAGACAGACCTCTACAGGAGATCCTTCCTGCCTAAACCTATCAAGACCTACCACACATAAAAATAACTTATGATTTAGTGCAACATTTAATTTCCTTTTGGAATTAAGACATTTTGAATTGAATTGATCTGGATCAAAGCTCTGATGAGCCTTTCTGGATCCGGTACCGATGGTTAGGATGCAGCTGGACTGTGCTGTCAGCAGCAACAGGGTGTTGAACCGGAGTATGATCAGCTGTTTCTGAAGGCTGAGCGAGCCACTGCAGCAGGTCATCTCTGGGAACATACCTGTCAGAAACTGCTGAGGTACTGGTAGAGAACCCAGGTTCCTCTGAGGAAGCAGCTTCTACGTGCAGCACAGGATGAGGTCTGTTTGGGTGCTGTCAGATGGCCTGAGCCTTTCTGTTGGAGGGAAGAAGTTTGATCTACGGTGAAGATATGAGACCCACAGATTAAAGCTTTCAGCTTTAAACAGAGAGTTTGTTTTATTTCATCAGAAAGTTTATTCACTTTTTTTGCTCCACTTTCTTATGACTTCCACATGGTGAAAGGAACGAGGTTCACACCCACCGAGGATCACTTCCCGTTTTTCTTCTCAGTCTTTTCCAGACAGCTTGACGACTTTCAATGAGATCATGGACACCTGGTGTGATGAAGTTTTCCTTTTAGGAGTATTTTATACGTTAATGACAAAAACAGCAAAGTACTTAATTTACAAAGATGTCAAACACTGCTTAGACCTCTAAAGCAGAAAAGGCGTGTAAAGGTGTGGTTGGTGACCATGATTGCAGCTGTTTAAGAAACTTGGTAAAAATCCAAGGAGGAAATTCCACAAGTATCGAAATCATTTCTGTTCTTGGCCCCGTTTTTCAATGTGTAGTTCTGTTTGTGTCCCCCTCTTTAACAGCTGTACATTGTGAACCAGTAAGGAAAGAAACAGAGTCTCATTGGTGAGGCAAACAGGTTAGAACATCTGATCACTGCAAATGAGGCATAAAGTGTTTCAACAGCCAGTTGATGAATTTTTAACCATGAAAAAACATTAAAAGGTATAATTGAAATAATCTTTCCTTACAGGAATGCTCTGCTGCATCATGGGTACTGGGCTCTGATTGGTTCGTCTGCTTTAAACCAGAGAGTATTGAGCCTGGCCGCGCTAATAGGATATGGTTGAGCCTTTGCGTATAAGTTTAAAGGAAATCCATCCCTAATATCAGTTTTATCTAGCATGATCAAAGATGAGCTCAAATCAATCCGTGAATATTTCAGACTGATCCGACCGGGTGGAAACTTCTTTCTGCTGCAACATTTAACTGAAAGACAGTTTTCAATCAAACCTTCATTCACTTCATGCATGAAGCTGTTTCTGAGTTCCTTCAGTGACGCTTCACTAGGTGCATAACGGAGCGTCATCACAGATCCTTACACTGCAGTCTCCTGTCCTTATTTCCTGTTTTTCATTTCTTTTAACTCTATTTTCATGTTTCACTCTCTGATAATGCGCCTGTATTTTCCCACTTTTTCATCTTCAGAGTATATCAGGAGATGCTTCGTCCGCTTTGTTTTGTTTTTTATAGTTTTTGTTGAAGTTGGGTTCCTGAGAGAAACTTTAAAATTGATGTTGGAGATGGTTTGAAAACGGGGAGGAGAGATACAGAGTTGTTCTGGTTTAGCGTTGTAGCAGCTGTTTGATGTATTTATTTTTTGCATGTCTTATCTTTCTCTTCCTGCCCTACTTCCTGTCCAGCTACTAATGAATAAAAGCTGCTAAATAATACCTTTAAAAAATATGAAGCAGCTTCAGGACATCAATGAGTGGATTAAAAAAATTACAGTTAAATATAGGAAGATAAGGTGAAAATTATTAAACAGTTCAGCACTTAAACACAAACAGGAAGAATCCAACCAACAGAGATGTGTGTTTATCTCAAAATAAAACCACTTCAAACAAAGTGTCCCTGTTCCATCAGATGAAATCTAAACCAGTTTAACATAGTCACAGACTATCCCACCCTTAATGAATTCATAGTCTAAGAGGAGGTGTGACAAGTGATTACATTTCATTGTATGATAACTCTAAAAATAATAAAGGTTTCTACTTCACGTATTTCACCTATCGCGGGTTCTTTTTGGAACGTAACCTCCGCAATAAACGAGGGTTCACTGTATTTAAAATGGGAATACTCCGGATTAGCTCACTGACTTTTGGGTGGGTCACAACCATCCCTGACAACAGTTTAGAAACGCCACTATTCATCGCGGCAGCAAGCAGCATTCTTGCATAATGTGCCCAAAAAGCCTGGGGGGTTGGGCCTTTCATGCTTGTTGTATCAGGCATCATAGCGTCCTTTTCCAGATCAAACTGAAAATTTTACCAGCTAGATGATAATAAAAATAACAAAAATAGTATAACAATACGCCTATTATTATCAGAGTAAGATATTGAGGCTGTAGAATGATAATCCCTATGGTCTAATGTAATTCCTTGGAAAGGTAGAGCGCACATCAGCTGATCTAAATAAAAGAAAGATGCCATAAAGTCAAACAGCATAATAGGCTAGTATCTGTAATATATATAAATAAGTTATTGTGATTAAAAAAAATAGAAAAACATGTAAGGCAACAATGATAAACTCAGCCACAGCTGGGACCGAACCCTCAACCTTTGGAATTGCAGACCACTCACCCTACCCTCTACGCTAACCTGGGGAACAATAATCTGCTCAGCTCGCAACAGGTCATACCCCTCCCAGTCTGCTCATTCACCTATCTTATCCTGACTCATGGGACGCCGAAATAGACTCAGACTGCCACCTAGTGGCTTTAGTAGCACTATGTTTTTCACGCTATTCGTGAAACACGGGGAGCGTGAGTGAAGTGTCCATTTCCAACCATCACCCACTGTACAGAGGTTACCCCTTGCTCACACTGGCTCTGGTGCGGTTACCGAGCCGACGGAGACTGCAACTCCCGCACACCCCCTCTCACACCGCCCTTTTGACTACGGTGCAGTGCGGCTCTGCGGCTCCGGCAACAGGTCCGGAGATTTAACAGAAGTTCACTTGAGTTCACGTAACTTCACGCGACAACACGGCCCAAATAAGGATATTTGCGAGAGTTTGTTGCGGAGGGCTCCGGCACGCCGCAAGGATAGCTTTCTTGCGGACTTTTCTGCAGCGCCGGAGTGTCTCGGTAACCGCAGCCGGACAGCTCAGCAGCCGGTGAGAGAGGTTTACGTCTTTTTAATGACTTGGAATCACTGCGGCGCCGCACCCACCGCACCGCAACGGTAAGACCGGAGTCGGTGTGAGCCTGGGGTGAGAGACACTGCAGATGTAGGATCAGCCTGTATGGTTTCTTCCCACAGAATCATGAGTGTGGATGAAGACGCTCGCTGGTTGGAGTGGGTAACCAAACAGTTTGAGACTATCGCTGGAGACGACAAAGAGATCGACATCGTTGAGTTTAAAACTGCACTCAAAGTCAAAGAGGTGAGAAACATTACAAAAACACATACAGGTGTTAGAGCTGGGCTTCTCAAGGTAGGTGGGTTGAACCCCCCCCCTTGGGGGTCACTAGATCCCTGGACCACTTCAGCATTGCTGCAAATTGCGCCATCATGCAGTCCATAAAATACATTTTTTAAAGACATTTTGATTGTTTATACTGAAAAATATTTTTAAAACAGCCTTTTCATTTGACCCTTTAACCATGGTTTGATTAGCAAACTGACGCCTCAGCAGTTCAGCGTCGATGCATCTATCAGCATGCACTCTATTTTCCTTAATTTACTTTGGGTCAGAATTTCCTGCACTGTTCGGCGGATGTGATACCAAGCACATCCATGTTAAATGGGTCTGACTTGGCAATCAATCAAAGCGTTACGTTCAAGATGGATTTTGTTCAGGATTGGGTCCCAGGCGCCGCCTCTGAGTCTGGTGTCCCTGTAGGGGATTGATGAGATCCCCCATGGGTAACTCAGGACCCTGGATCTAGGTCCTTGATCTGTAATGGCTGACATGTCTCTTCAATATCACATGGAGGCCGGGACCAGTGGCCCAGGACTGGCAGACTGAGCTGGTGGTTCCGTTCCATAAGAAGGGGGGATTCAGAGGGTGTTTTCTACTTGGTTAAACTGTTGACACCTTAAAGAGTTTTCACACAATCACAGTTTAGTTGATTGTGTGAAACACTCTAGATTTTGACTCTATAGCCCCATTTACACTACCCTTTTAAAACCACGACGAGCACGATTATGAGCTAACTGTTGAGTGTAAATGGAACGCAACTGAACTGGACCGTGCCGGACAAAACCAAACCGTGCTAAATCTAGTTCTAGTTCAACAGTAGGGCTAGCCACGGTTCAGTTATGGCTCAGATCTCTGATAATAAAGAGTGCATGCGTAGACCACGTCATCTCCTATTTAAAGCCAGCTGACTAATAATGCAGGTTTTCAGGCGTGTCCGGGTTTGCAATTCACAGATCTCTTCCCCTGTTCACAACCATTTTTGTTGGTGTAATTCCCACCTTTAGAGCTGTAATATCATGGACCACCGATAGGAGGCGAGAAATTGTGCCAGCATGATGTGTAAATGCTCTTAGAACCAAGCTCAGCACGGTTAACTGATCCAAGCTTGGTCCAAACTCAGGGTTTCAGAGGGTTTGTGTATATGGGTCATATATTTCAATATTTCATCCTACAGTACAGAGCACCAGCTGCTTCTCTGTCTTAAATGCTTCCTGTATTCTGCTTCATTTTTGTAGTCTTTCTTCGCTGAACGCTTCTTTGCGCTGTTCGACTCTGATGGCAGCGGATCCATCAGTCTGGATGAGCTGCTCAAAGCTCTGAATCTCCTCATCCACGGCGATGAGACCGATAAGCTCCGCTTCCTGTTTCAAGTCTACGACGTTGACGGTCAGAAACCCTCCAACAAGCTTCAAAGCTACATTCAGGGTGTTTAATCAAGTGTCGTAGTTAAGACCACACCAACCAAGACCAAGGAGTGCTGAGTCATGGACAAGGCAAGACTTTTAGAAGCAGAGACCAAGACAAGACCAAGACATTATGTGGTCTTGGTCTCCAAAGGTCTTGGCCTTGTCTAGGTCTAGGTACTCCTTGGTCTTGGTTGGTACGGTCTTGATTAAAACACCTCTTTTAATCTACTCCAAACACTGGTAGATGTTTTGTTTCTTCAGACTGGCCCATCGAAACAATAGTGTAACCTCACCATAGCTGTGGTTGTTTGTGCTAACAGGCAGTGGTTCCATCGATCCAGATGAGCTGAGAACGGTTCTGAAGTCGTGTTTGCACGAGAGTGCGATCTCTCTGCCAGAGGAGAAGCTGGACGATTTGACGCTGGTTCTGTTTGAGTCAGCTGACAAAGACAACAGTGGCTCCATCACCTTCGAAGAGCTTAAAGCTGAGCTGGAGAACTTTCCAGAAGTGATGGAGAACCTCACCATTAGGTGAGCTGGTTTTCCACTCAGAAAGGTTGTAATGTAAACAGATTAATGTTATGAATATCTTGTCTACGAACCAAAACCCCACAGAAATCTCTGTTTTTTTTTCCTGTTGTATCTTCCGCAGCGCTGCTAACTGGCTGAAACCACCGGATCCTGATCAGAAGAAGCCTCAGGCTCCTCGGTATCTAACCCGGGCCTACTGGCAGAACAACAGCCGGAAGTTGCTGTTCCTGTGTGTGTACGCTTTGCTCAACCTGCTGCTCTTCATCAGCGCCATGCTGTACCACAGCTACGGTGGCGGCTGGTTCATGCTGGCCAAAGGCTGTGGACAGTGTCTCAACTTCAACTGCACCTTCGTTATGGTATCACAGAAATAATAAAATATCATTTAGCACAAAGATTTTCCCAAACTGCGTTTGCTGAATAATTCAGAGACCATTGATAATCACTACTTTTCAAGGATTTTCGAGTCCACTACTTTTTCATCCACTAGATGTTCGGACACTCATTTAAAATGGCGTGACCACAATATAGAGCCCTAGATAGAGATTGGAGACACAGACCACGACTCCAGAACCGGTACCTCCCTGTATCCCCTCTAAAACGGGTCTCCCTTTGCTTACGCTCAGTGTATTCTGGGGTTGGCTGGCCATCCCTGCTACCAGACAAATTAGCCTAAAATAAATCAGAGGTTCAAGTATGTGAGCAGCCACCTTCTAAGTCAGCACATTATAATCAGCATGTTATCCAGATGCTACCAGCCTGCAGGTCCATCTTGGTCCAGTTTGGTTCTTTAAGATTATTGACAGGATGAACTCAGGATTCATCCCCAAATCCCCCATTTTTAAGTTAAAGACTTGCATCACAGCACCAGACTGTTTAGATGTAGGTTAGTAGTTCCTTTGAGAGATAGGGACGTTTTAAGTTAAGGTTTAAATGTTGAAGGTATAGTGGAGGATGTTCTTTTTCCGGGAGAATCATCTAAATAAGTGATCCTCCTAATTTTCAAACATTCAGGTGATATGTTTACGTAAGGCCGTCCTACGTGCTTCTGCTTTTCACTTACCGGTAGTGAGTCTGACATAGTGGAAAAATTGCAAATCTTCAAGGTAAGCCTGTATGAGTGATGCAAACAGCAACTTTTGAACAGAGTGTGCACGAGGAGAAATGGGCTCGTGCACGCTCTCGCACGAGTTTAATAGGTGTTCCCTCTCAGGAGTGGGAATAGGGTTGCTCATGTGCATTTTTTATTTTTTGTTAAAGTGGAGAGGGCAGATCTCTTCAAAAATTCGTAAAAATCCTCCACAGTACCTTTAACTATTATATGCTCAATCAATGAATCTGTGATCGTCCTCATGGACTGCTGAAGAAAACTGCAGATATTTCACAGCAGGATTAATCTGTTAGAGAGATCAAAATATTTTTATCTGAACACCAGCTATCAGCCCACACCTGCTAAATGGGAAAATCAGTTCTTTTATTTTTTTATTTAAGTTTTTTTTTTACAAACATGTTGGATGTCAGCTCTGCCAGTAGAAGATGATCCTGCAGGTCCTTCACCTGGCAGCCTCTACCTTCTTTTCTGATGCTTGCTGTGGGTTAGATGGATGTTGGATCGGTTTTGTCTCTGCTGCTGTTGTTGGGTTTAATGAGCTCCACCTCTTCCTCCGTATTAACTTATCTCATTCTGTGTGTCCAGGTGTTGATGCTGCGCCGTTGTCTGACGTGGCTCAGGGCCACCTGGGTGGTCAGAATCCTTCCTCTGGACCAGAACATCCTGCTCCATCAGATCGTGGGCTACGCCATCCTTGTTTTCACGCTGGTGCACACGGCGGCGCACGTTGTTAATTTTGGTTCGCTCAAACACGTCTGCTTAGGTTTTAGTTCATGAACTGAGCTCAGCCATCATCTGAGGATCAACATCAGGGTTTAATCTTTGTTTAAATGTGTA